GAGTACATGAAATATATACCATAATTATCAAAAATTAAGTTAAACCCACCGCCCAAAATAAATTTAATCAAAATTTCAATATTGATGAAGAATCCTTTCAATACCTGTGCCAGTTCCAAACTACAATGGTTACAATTCAGAATAAATCGTAGAATTCTAACCACAAACATTTTTTTTATTTAAAATTGGTAAATTAGGTTATAATATGTCCACTTTTTCAAAACTCATCCAGAAACAATAAAACATATATTGTGGGATTGTGAAAAGGTATCTAATTTGCTCGAAAATATAAGAATTACTGTTATTGCTAAAAAAATCTTTGTCTTCGATTAAATAAACAAGAATTCATCTTTGGCAAGCAGATTAATAAATATGCAAAGTTCAACTTGGATAACTTGATATTACTCACTATAAAACAATACATATATAAATCAAAACGCCTAGAAATAGAACTCAGTCTGAATGATCTAATAAATCATATCAAATTCGAATTAAAATCGCACAAAATTCTAATATCTAAAAGTAACATCAAAAATAAAATACAGATTAACACACAAATACATCACTGGTTGCAAATTAAAAAAAAAAAAGATACTAAATTTAACATCTTTATGACCTAGGTTTCCCTTGTCCTTGCTTTGTCCCATATGTCCTGTCCTTTGTCTTTTGTGTGCATTCGATTTTTGTCTGTGTACCTAATGTCACGAATACCATTTATTTATTAATCATTTATTTATATTTTATTTTGTGTGGGTGTGTAACTGTTAGTGTATGTGTGTATGTGTGTGTGTGTTTGTGTGTGTATTCTTTTTTGTCCCTGTATATAAGTACATGCTTGATCAGTATTTGTTCATAGTGAATTAAAAAAATATATATTATCAACAACTCATGTACTGAGTCATGTGCAAAATTGAAAATGAAAAAAAATATGAAAAAACTAGTCCAGCAAAAGTATTGTTCCAGCAAACTAGGAACAGAAAACGTGTCCATCCTAAATGTTTAACGTATTAATGACAAACCTTCGGAACTACAAAATAGCAGTATGTTACAGACTGCAATTAGACAGATAAACGCTGCTCACTTAAAGAACTAGAAATATTAATGGAAAGACTTCGTTGAAATGACAACGTATACTGATAAACTAAGTGGGAGCGTTCAACCTCACCCACGTATACTGGCATTTCGTTCACTCAAAACACAAATAAGCCCACGTACGTCACGATGAACATCTATCTGTAAACAAACAACAACT